CTTGAATAGTACCAGTTTGGTTCCCACGACGTGGAAAAGGAAGACCTTATGCTCCTGATGTTTCCACATCACTAGTTGTCGATCGAAAGGTAACCGACTTTCAATAAAGCAGTTTGGCCGTTCACAGCAGCAGCCGGTCCTCCAAGTTTCTTTTCCTCCCAGCTCAGCATCAGCAACAGCTCGCTTGTGCCATGTTACAATAATTAAATAGCCCAGATCAAACGTCTTTTTCCGATGACCGGAATATTCAGGTTAACATAAAAATATTGTAAAACACGAACGCTTTCATTGCTCCATTTGCGATATACCGGTATGTGTTTTGTCGCGCTTTGAGTAAATATTGATGCGTCAGAGTTCCGTAAATGTGAAAATGTTATTTTACCGCCCGTGGTCGGCTGACCCGGCGGTTGCCGACCACCACTCAGCTGCTATGTCGCGCCTGACCCGGATCCCGCATGCAATGCGGACAGGCGTCGTGACATGCAAATATGAATTGCGCTCCAAAAACTCGTAATGTATCGCCCATACGACGTGGGAAGTGCAGTTTGAAATGGCCAATGCGTTCCTCGTTTAACATGAAGTCAGGTGGGGATCGATTTGCCCCCCCCCCCCCCCCGCCCAGTTTGTCCAGTTGACTTCCAAACGGCGTGGCACCGCGGTGCCGAACTTTGCGTGGCTGTAGACAATGATTTGCATTACCTTGTAAGCTCACTGACCTATGATAGGTAAAAAGCAGGCCATGGCTCTCAGCGAAAGATTTGTTTAAAGGAATCGTCTGATGCAATAAAGGAGTGTTAGACGAACTCGTACGTCTTTGAGATGGCTTCTTAGATCGCAAGACAATTGGAGTCAGGATTACAACCGATTCAGGTGGCCTTAGCGCAGATATGAAGGTCAGACAGATCAAAACCAGCCATTTTTGCTTGAGAACTTGCTTGTAGAGTAGTTTTTACGCCCATCTTGAATTTTGTCACCATGAGGACGTCAGCAGACACCTTAGTTGAGCTTCTTAAAGGTCAGAGGATGGCATTGGCCTAAAATGACCTCATCCAGCGTTTTGTCCTTAGTAACATACCCTCCAGCGTAGTCCTGGACGCCTATTTAAATTAAAAACAACAGCAGTCTGCCAGGTTTTGGATCACCGTGGCCCTGTGAAGGTCAAAAAAGATCACTGGTCTGAAATGAAGACCAGTGAACATGTGCTGAAAAGAGATATCGTGGCAAAAGGTGGGTGCATAAAAAGGTCTTAGGGCGTTTCGGACACCGATCTTGAGTTTGACCATGTTTGATCCTGTTTGGCCTAGAGGAAATGACCTAGGGATCTCAATATGTTATACAAGGGAACGTAGATACAGACCTGCTTGCCCTATGAATTTGGCACATCTAGCTTTTTGTTTTGTTGTGTTTTGTTTTTGAGATCCCAGGTGGGTCAGGGGTCAATTGATCCACCGCCTGAGCGCATCGCAATCAATCGGCCACCTGAGCGCGTGCCAAACGAGATGGCCAATTCTGCCCTTCCCTCAGCTGGCAGAAGATATGCCATGCAATGCTCTTAAAAGCCCCTTCGAACAAGCCAGAGAAGCTGGGATAGTTTTTTGTGCTAAAACGCGCGCATTAAATGTTCCAGAGGCTTCTGACAGTTATTCTGCTTCTGCGTAACATGGCAGGGATAAACGTGCAAAACATATTGCGATCACATCCCCGGTGGAGTTTAAGTGACAATATCAAACAATCATGGGAATATCCGACGTTTCGAGGGAGTGTGAATGGTCACGAGTGATCATGAACATCATGAGACCATGCGCCCGTAATCACGAGTGACCAGCAACATTACTCAAAGCGTTATAAATCTGAGTAATCGTTTGAGATCGTTGCTTAGCGAGATCTCCCGTTATTCTGAAAGTGGGACATTTTCAGGATAGAGCTTGTAGTGGTGGGACTCCAAAAAGTGCATCAGTTAGCTAACTGCATTTTGAAATCGGCTTAATAATGCCATGTCCGATTTTTCCATACCATGGCATGAATCTGAATGTCTGACCAGTTCAGACTGTTTCCAGTGGTAAAGCACCTGAAAGACTGATGGTGCTGTTTTTTTGATGCCCACATGTCATTTAAGCCTCCTTCACTTTAGAATTGCAGACAATGTTATCATTATTATTTTTTGTTTCCAAATAAAAATAATTCCTCTCCCCATCCCGTAGCAAATTTTGTTACGTGGCTTGTTTGTCGGCAGTTATTGAGATCAACAATGCATGATGGTCCCAAGAGATAAGACTGCTGGCGTTTTCAGGCGCCGATCAAAGGCACGTAATCCCCATCCCGGAAATGATTGATTTATTGTCGAGAAGCATCTATTTATGGCTTCAGGAGCCAGGCATTACAACTGGAAATGGAAATGGATAACTTAGAATGCATCTGCGTATCATAGCAAGAAATTAACTAACCTAATAAATTGTCATGGTGTTGATGATGAAAGCGTAGTTTGGTGCCCAGCCAGGAAGTTGGCTTACCTGATGCGGTTTCTAGCACTCGATATATCTTGTTAATAACTGAAAACAAAGTTCAGAAAAAATGCGTGAAAATAGAAATACATGAGAAAATGTGCGCTGGCGACAAAAGTTAGGTTTCGTTTAATTCTCCTGACACTGCTGCTGCACTCAGTCTGGGTCTCCTGGGTGCCTCCTTAAGTGGATGTGTGATGTGTGAGGACATCGAAAACAATCACCTTATGCGGCTGACCGAAAGACCTGGATAATTCTCGAATATGGTGCGCTCTGACGCACCACCACTACTCGGAGAAATTGTCGTGCTCGAAACGGATTATCCCTAAAACAGCCAAGGCTCAACGTTTTCAAAAGGCCGATTCGCCGATTCGCCTGAACCACAGACCCCACACGGCTAGATGAGGTGCCGTTGGAGGTCCGCGCTCTCCGGTGACCTGGCCGACAAGGTGCGGTACTGCATCCGGCTTTTCACAAAGCGAGGGGGCAATGTCCACTGGCATCATAGCCAGGTCGCCGGACTCCATCGCATCGGCATGGACATTACATATCAGTCTCTTTACAAAAGTGTCCTGTCTTTTTGGTGAAAACAGGAGTGTTTAGGCCGACTGTGTGTCCAGCAGGGGCTGATTGTCTGGTTCGACCTGCTGGGCCATGGGAGATGTATTTCTTAAATAAAAGTTTTGGCACCCTTGGGAAGTAAAGCTTCTCTTTTAACTTAGGATGCGCGATGCCGTGCGTTTCGGTAAGGTCAGCTTGAATTAACACGCGCTCGAATTGAACCACCTCGGAGCGCTTTTTCGGAATGGTTTCCGAACGGCACGGCGAAGCCACACCAAACTTTGCAAAGCTGTAGAGAATGTCGCATGGCTGTAAAAAGTTGCATAGTGGTAGAAAATTTTGCGTAGATGTAAAGGAAATCATACTATGGATTCAGCGAAGTCAATTTCTAGGAAATCGTCCAATCTAATGGAACAGCGGAGTGTTAGACGAAGCCATACATCTCTGAGGTACCTTGTTAGGCAACGCAACAATTGAATGCCAAGTTCCATTGACCTAGGGTCAGGTGTGAAAGCCAGACCAAGGCCAAAAATAGCTCGTTTTACTACCCTGAGGAATGTTGTATGGGATAGTTTCTGGTATATATTTCGAATTGGGTGATAACACGAACCGCATTGGACATCTGTTTTTAATTGACTTATTCAAGGTAGTAATAGGTCACTGGCCTAAAATAATCTAGGTCAACATTTCGCTTTTAGGGGCATGCTGCCTAGCATAATCTTTTTCGCTTATTCAAATGCAAAACTGAAAGCAGCCTTGTAAGAGTCTGGTCACCGTGACCTTCGAAAAATCAAGCAAGGTTATTGACTTGAAATGAGCATGTGGCCATTTGCTTAGAACGGGTATCTAGGTTCTGGGGACACTGGAGACCAACTTGGGGTTTGACCTTGTTTGAACTTATTTGACCCAAAGGTCCGACGTAGGAACATCAGCCTTTGACCTAGGTGAGCTCACGTACTGACCAATACGCCCTCTGCGTTTGGTGTCTCCAGCCGTCTTAGTTCCTGAGATTATCAGTGGGGTCAAATTGACCCCCACCCGAGCGAAGGATATCCAACCGGCCACTCGGGCGCGTGCTAATGTATCTTGTAATGATTCAGTCATGATTATGCATCAGATTCGTCCTCAAAACATCTTATGGTCTTACTGCGATTGTTGTTCGAAAGCGTGCGTAGGTTTTCAGTCGCAAGCTTTCAGTCGGTAAGGGTCAGCCGTGATGCTCCGCTCTTCCTTCAAATTGGGCTGCGTGACGGGTGGCCTTTTCCGAACATCGAAAACTGGCAACACTGGTCTCTAAGCCAGGGCGGAGCTGTCAGCCTGCAGCAGAAAAGCCGAGCGGTCACCTTGCGGCGCGTGGCCGGCTCCCGGCCAGCCTGTGGTCTTGCCGCTTCTGGCAGGGGCACGACCGGCCGCTGGGCCGGGGAGGGGAAGACGGGTCGGCAAACGGATGCTCTCCACCCACGGCGTCAAACCGCTGTGCACGTGGTGCGCATCCGCTTTCGCCAACGCGGCGTGGACGTGCTGTGAGCTGTGTTAATCGTGTGGCAGTGTTGAACATTCCCTGCTTGCCCCTCGGGGCCGGAAAGCCGTATGGTCATGGAAAATTTCGGACATCTGGCATGTGGAGTGACTTATGTGGTTGCTTCGGTGTATTAAAATTGCTGGGCTCATGGGAGTTCTTGGATATGATCCTAAGCCGCAAGGGAATGTTACAACAGCTATAGCCATAGGAAGACTGTTAAACACGTCCGGTCTTCGACGGTAGGGGTGAATATGCACGTCACGGGCGTCCCGCAAACTGGCCTGAGCCAATAGCCGGCGCTCGGTGAGCAGTAAGCCGATGACACGGCCGCCCCCGTCCCGGCTCGGTGTGACGTCACGGGACCGGTCTGGTGTCATATCCCGGCGGGACCGGGAGCACGGCAGACGACAGTCAGACTCCCGACCGCTCTGAGATGGCGCTCCTCCGTCTGCCGCTGCTGCTGCTGCTGCTGCCGGCGCTGCTGGCAGGCGCACCGGCGGGTGGGATGCAGGCCGGCACCGAGTCCACCGACGACATGGGGGCCTTCTCTATTTGGGAGCCGCACAGAGTGGGTAAGTGGCTCCTGTGCGCTGTGTGACATGTGAGGTCCAAGTACCGAATGGGGACTGTGGTCTATGAGGAGCTCCCCGCGGTGTGTGAGGGACCGACAGGGGACTGTACTGTAGTGGCTGAGTGACAGGATGGAGACTGCGCTGCAGTGGCTGAGAAACAGGATGGGTTGTGTGCCCTGTGCCTGTAGTATGCCACAGGTGGGCGAGTAACCAAAGGGAATCTACAAACTTTCGAAATCACTGCGGGATGAATAAGTGGCTGGTTGGAAACGTCACCCGCCCGGAACTTGCTCTGCCCTGAAATGTCATAGGGTGGATAGCTCAACTAACTGTACACTGCGCGGCTTCCCATTCTCAAGAAGGAGAAGAAGTAAGAAATGCCGTAGTTAGCCCTGATATCTTTATTTCGGAATCTCGGGACTGGACTTATACTCGTTTCCAGGATTCATATTTTTCCAATCTCGGAGGCATGGCATTAGAAAAACCACATTAACCAACTGGATTTAGATTTAAAAGCATCTCATCGGCGTGCCTAACAGAACCTGAAGATCCAGTTTGCTGAGAATCGGTCAACAGCTATCATACGATCCGACATGACTTGATTTTGGCGCCAAAACCAACGTTTAATCTTTACTGCATTGTCCTCGTATCTTCCGGCGTATACCCATGGCGATCCGAAGTGTTGCACAAAAGGGGGGTAATGGATGTTTGTGATATGGCCCTTTTATTACAGTACATATAATCGAAGTAAAATATTTACCTTGGCTTTCAGCGACAGCAATTAATCTGCACGACACGGCATGCGTCTACCGTGTTGTGGCTATGTCCCTTGCACATTTCTTTGCTGGAAATTCCAGAACATTTTGTTCAATTTCTAGCAGAAAACCCCGCATGTTACTGGCCCTTAACGGGAATCAGGTTTTTGAAGGGATTTGTAGCGAGTTCGGACAGGAAAATTCACAAATCTCGGCGATCCCACCGAAAATGACAGCTAATGAAAATGGGAAACCATCGGAGGTCGAATTAGCACCCTACATGAAAAAAGGTTTCAACTGACTTGTTTTGGATGATCGCTGTTGATTATAAAACGGGTTAAACCGGATATTACTGGCTAGTTAACATCGAGGCATCAGCGAACTTTTTTGTTCAGTGGATCTAGCTCAATCAGAAACTAAATTGAGAGAATGATGTCTCACGCGAGTCAGAATTACTCCTGAGTCGCGATGGTTAACAAAGCACAAATATGTTCTTAGGGGGCGTCGCATTTCGGCGCTCATTAAACTTTTTGGTCGGGCACTCTATTGTCTTCCTATATCTAAGGCTGTACTCTCTTGACCAATTTCTCTGCGCGTTTTTTTTTTTGCCTGAGGTTTCTTACTCATTCAAACGTGAGAGGGTCTTTACATCGCGTCATCGCCTCGTCATAATTTCAGAAGAATCTATTCCAGACTTAAAAGATTAATTTTATGGTGCCGTGATATCTGAAGACTTGGTTGACTGCAACAGCACTTTCAAGCCTTGGGATACGTACGAGCAAGAAAGAATTACGTGATATGTGTGCCAGGTACTAGACGTCATAACAGTGTGTGGTGGTGGCTGCCATAATAACGCGATTATATGGCCTGAAATGTCGTGGATCCTTACATGCGCTTTCAGATTAACAACCATCATCATACAACCGGCAGGATTGACTTAGGAGTTATAACCATCAGCGCGTGCTACCATCTCGCTGTCATCCGCCTAGCGCTAATGCGATTTTCAGTACTTATCACATTATAATGGGTATGAAAACCTCACGCAAAGAACATGGTTTGTAAAGCAATCAGCCATTGCCCCATTTTCATCAGGGTATGCCACCAGCCTTCGAAGCGCATACGCGTCGACGAATGGACGTGCTTTAAGCAGGCTCGTCAATGTCCCGGTTTAAATGAACACATCTTTATAACATAGATATACATATGTGGTGCAAAAAAGTAGCATAAGGCTGCTCTCTTGTCTACGTGTTCTTCGTTGCTTGATTTGCCATGTATAACGAGTAATTGTATCCGGAAGTTTGCTACTTCCCAGAAGACTGGAATTTCTTGCATGATGCGCTTGAAACACTTTATGAAGTAATGCTCTAGAATGACAATTTTCAGTGTTCATGATTGAATGTACATATACATAATGTACATGTACATTACTCAAGATTGCCTTGAGCATGGCACGTAAAAGGGTGCTTCATTTCAACTGTTGACTTGAAAAGGGTCTGAATATGCGTAAACAGAACAAGCATAAATATGCTTTCTTACATCACAGATATGTGGACATTTGGAATTCATATATATTCAATCATAAGATTGCCTTGAGCATGGCACATAAAAGGGTGCTTCATTCCAACTGTTGACTTGAAAAGGGTCTGAATATGCGCAAACACAACATGTATAGACATGCTTTCTTACATCACCGATATATGGACATTTGTAATTCGTATATTTGTAGTCAGTGTTCAACTGCCTAGCAGGACGCCTTTACGACAGGCCCCTGAACACGCGCTCACTTTTCCAAATTCCAGAGTGGCCCACCTCAGCCCGTGCCTTGTCAGCGGCGTTTTCAGTATCTGAGCGTGGGTAGAGGAGGCCTGCATCTCTGGCTCGCAGACCACATTGATTTTGTGAAAGATGCCGATGTCCGTCAATTTTCAACAATGCTTGCTACATAGCACGTGCCTGGCATACTCCTCGCACCGCTATTTGTGCTTTTAAAATTGTCATTTCAAGTGCATTTGAAATAAGGTTATGAAAGACAGAGTGTCCCATGCAACGCCCTTTGTAAACTACGATATTTTTTCGAAGAACGTAAAAGACTTTTGGAAAGGGCTGTAAATGTGCCGATATTTCCTGCATAACGTGTTGTCAAGGCGAAGAATGAGTGTATTTTCAACCGTTACAGTTGGTTTTCAAATGCACACATGATATGCACATATATGAAATCACATTACATTGAATGAGAAAGCGTTAGGTAGCAAGTCTACTTCTTGCAACATACAGAGACCTACTAAACACAATTCGTGTTGCTAGATTGCAATGCATTCGTAAAATCCGCGCACATACGCATCAATGCACATCAAACGTCGACCGAAATCGACCGTACATGTTTGCAGCTGCACAACAACCCACAATTCACATGATGGAGCAGGATGTTTATGCTCTGCATCAGGATCTATTTGTCTATCCTTATAACTGAATCGACGTAAAAAGCTTATAGCGGCCGGCCGGCGCTGCCTCGATGTGGCGTTACCACGGCAGAAACTAACCTGACGGTTTCGGCTTACACTTAACGAACCGTTTCAGATCAGTTCTTGAAACGTGTACACTGTTAAAAACATGTTACACATGGACATGTCCATGAAGCTTCTGACAAATGCTTACAAAAACAGAAGATTTCACTGCAATAGTTAGCGGTTCTAGAGGGGCCAAGGGGAGAATGCGCCGCCGCGCTACAATGCACTGCCTTCGCCCTGCGATAGAGGCTATTTTCAGCCATCAGTCGACTGGCCTGCCAGCCGTGTGGATGCCCAGGACCTCACACAGGCCGCCATTTTACTTCTGAAAAATATCTGCTCGGGGGCGGGTGTCATATTCCTTCTCATCGGCGGGCTACTCGCTTCTTGTCCTCGCCACGCATCGTCCGGACTGGGGGGGTGACGACCTCCATCCGCGCGCATACCCGCCCGCAGACAACTGACGTTGAGTCCTGGTTCATGGCAAACAGTCGCGTCTGCCGCCTCGCGTCTACCGTCTGACGTGATTCCCGTGTCTACCGTGTAGTCTGTCTTTTGGTCTGGTGGCGAAGGGCCACCGTTCGAAGTCCCCGGTGCACAACAAAGCTTGCGAGCGAACCGAGAAGTTGAGTCGGCTCACAGCCTGCCAGTGCTGGAGGACCGCCGGATTACCCGCCTGCTTCAGTCGCGTCTTGTTGTTGGGCTTCAAGGTTGCCATTCGTGAGGTCGGGCGGCCGGTATGGAGTTTTGTGGTTTTGTGACGCCACACCATCCCTGGCACATTCCAGAGTCGTCGCACGTTTCGGGCAGGTGTCTGGTAAACCTTACAGCAGATGCCTGTCTTACGCAGATTTTAAAGAAGTAGTTATTATCTGTGCCTGCGGGTCTGTCAGATAAGTATGGAAATCAAACAGTACACGACTGATCTACATAATAAATCATGCCGATAGAAAGCTGGCCATTTTTGACTCCTTAAAACTATTAAGACATGACGAAAGAATCCGCAAAGTATTAGAATGAGTGTTTTTATCAGTTACGACTTCAACACCTTCCAGTTTCTGCGTGACTGTCAATGTCCGAAGCGTATTTACCCTCCGAAAAAATGTTCTTTTAGGGGGAAAGCGAACGGAAATAGCGGGCACATCAATGTTTTGCATGCGGCGACAGTCGTTACAGGCATCAGGCACCAAGCCAGCCTCAAAGCGAAATGTATCTGTTGCGATCTCAAAACTCACAGCATGCTAATTCCCTGGCTAGCCCTTTACTACCTGTCTTAGCTTGATGCTGAGCAGTTGCACTTCAACACATTCACGGTATTTTCATCTCCAAATCCCCAGTACTTTTCACAGTACTAGAACGTGCACAGCTTGTTCTGGGGCTCCGGTCCAAGAGGACACCTTGCGGCTCTCCAGAGCCCGTAGGTGCGCAGTTACAGACTTAGGCAGCGGACGTGGGGTCCGCCACTTATTCCAGACGATGCGGTGACGAATGAAGCGACGGTGAAGACTCTAGGAATCAGATAGCTCAGGGTCCATCCGGTGCAAAAAGAACAGCGTCAAACTAGTGACAGATGCACTGCACTGCATGGCCCGTTCTTCGCAGAACTTTTACAGTAACAAGAGGAACGTGACAAGACCGTTGGGCCAGGTTATTTGTCGTTTCGGGGCTTGAACGAAAGGTCTAACTCCCGACGTCCCGCTCCAGGAACTTTTGATTCGTCGCTGTCCGTCAGGAAGTAGCAGCGCTACTTGCGCCTGCAGTGCAGGCGCGTTTAAATAATCCCAGCCAAAATGCTATCTAGTTGCTTCACCTTCATTTGCTTATTTGTTCTGGTTTGTATTCATTAATTCCACCAGCATGGAACTTTCCAGCGCAGTGTGGGTAGACTGCGCGTAAAGGTGCACGCGCGCGAGATGGCAGAACCTGATGACCGCCCATTTTACACTTCAGAGGAACTGCAGGGAGTTAGCTGATGCTGGAAATGTAACGCTCCAGTATATCAGCCCGATCACAGTGACAGGCACCATGTAATAGCCTGGGGCATTTTAAAACGCCCCGGTAAAAGCCTTGGGCTGCCTGTAACATCAAAAGGAAGCATCAAGGATAATATGAGATCATTTATATGCTAGCAGGAGGAGAGAGTGAAGCCAAATTGTATGGCAACTTTTGTCTCATTTCCCTTAGCACCCCCAAGATGCACACGTGATGAATCACCAATCGCAAAGCAATAAGAGCAGGGACCTACTGGTCTGTTGCTAGGCAAATCCGGCCACTTTGTTTTTATCGCGGAGTGACAGCTGAAAGATGATGAACAGAAACCGGTCCATGAGATTACCGACTGAGGTGCCATTTCTCCAGACCGGCTGGTTTATCTTGTTTCTAAGGCCTTGCCTGCGAGAAGAATTTTTACCCCAGGAGTATAACGCGAGTTTAGTCATGTGCGATGCGGAGAAGGCACCAGCGGCCGGTCAAGACGAGGCAGAGGGACAGTTTATAAGCCTTTGAGACCGTGGGTGTTTGTGCCGAACTATATCCAAAAACAATTGCTGTTTGTCACCACAGCATGCTGTATACTGCATAAAGACCATTGTTCCCTGCTGAAACAAGCTGGGAATGATAAGTGACGAATGCCGTCAAAATGCGCCACAAACCAATGAGGATTCTGCTCTGGCTTCAAAAAATCCTGTCGTGCGCACTGCGGCATAAGATGAACGTTAGCGCTTTTTGTTTTTGCCAGTTGTCATTTGGTTGCCAGATTGGGCTGCGCCGCGCCACATCGGTGGTTGTGTAGGTGGCCGGTGCCAGCTCTGGCAGGATTATTCACTGAGCGGCACACCTGTATAAATGGGAGTGCCGACTAGCCCGGGCGGATTAACGATTAAAGAAAGAGGCCAGATGACGTTAAGGAGAATATCGTGTTTTCCTGTCTAAGAGACAGCTTCGCCTTTTTTCAAAAGAAGCCAGAGGGTGTTCGCAGACGTGTGCTTGGCACCAATCCTTGAAAATATAGCTAATGCTACAGGCTGACAGATGTATTGAGGAGATCGATGCATAATCAACGTCTAGTAACTCAGGTTGCATGTCAACTACAACGCAGCCTCCGCCCATCTCTGTGCATCACATCCATATCTGAAAAAAATTAAAAATTACTATTCAAACCTGAGAAAGCATAATGAGATCTACGACACAAGAAGCTCACAGCTAGCTCCCTGGTGCCCACGTCCTGTGGTATTTTATTCACCTTTTCTCCAGGAGGACAGGGGACCTAAGAGTGTGAGAGCGTCAGAGACTAATAGATCTTACGGATCTAGAAATATAGAGAGCTAGAGATCTTGGAAATCTAGATATATAGCGATCTTAGAGACCTCATGCGATCTTAAAATCTAAAAAAATAAGTGAGCAAGAATTGCAGGAAAATGGCATTGGAAAGCTCTCATCAGACTGCATCAGACCGATGTAGCTGGGCAATGGTGAATGTTACCTTCGTCAAGACAAATCAGGTAATATGGGTCAAATTAGCAATATGCCTCTCCTGTTATCTCAGGAACTATGCATTCTACGTCAATGTGTAAAACAATGTTGGCAGATACGACCCGTATAGAAACTCAACATATAGAAACATAAAAACATCGAAAATTACAAAAAGGCACTGCTGAATAATACAGTTAAGAGAGGCAGCGTAGAAAACCTCGTTGGATTTTGTTTGCACAAAACAAACGTTATTCATTACTTCTGAGCAAAAAGCTGCCGACATGATCTGGAGAACTGGATCAAAAGACCATGGATGATCAGTTATTTCTACTGTGCTCCTAGGGGAACGCGACGTGCGTCGTCGGGGCCGTTTATGGAGTGTCATCAACTGCATTGGCAACGCTAGCGCTTAGGAGCCATGATGTCGTCGGGATTCAAACCCGGACCCGCACGCAGGGCTAACCACTCGGCCATTTTGCCACCGTTGATCAGAGCTATAGGCGTTAACTGCGCGTGATATACTAAAGAAGGTTGTAATTTCAGGTACCCAAAATGTTAGCACCATGTTTAAAATCGTTCTGACGCTATTCACGGCAAACCTCAGGGGCATCTGAGCCCCTCCCCCCCCCCCATCCCTCTCTTAGGCCGGGGCTGAAAGGCTACAGAGACTTAAACCATTCCCATTTCATTCAGACGTTTCCAACCTTCCTCTATGATGCTTGTCTGCCTCTTCTTTCTGAAGCACCCGCTTGCAGTCCTTGTCGGAGGTGGAAAGAGGCTCAAATGATCATGCGACGAAATCCGGCTTACACCAGCTTTGTCAGAAAAACCTCGACCCACGGTGGTATCACCATGTTTTCACTTAAGTGATATGCACGTCCACTATCCGGGTCTTCCGGCGCTATGAACTTTGCTTATTGAAGTGTTTTCATTTCTTTGGAGATCGCGTGGAGTGGCAACGATGAGATGTTTTGAATCAATGAGACAGGTCCTATCGTGAAGGCACGGATTCAACGGTTAGCCTAATTTGACTCCAAAAATGCTCAACTGAAGGCCGCTGAGCGCGGAAACAGTTTTTGTTTTTTTAGGTCTTACGCCCCGGTCCTCCTTATATGAATTTTGATTTCGACTTCCCTCCCAGTCTACTATTTTTTATTACAGGTTTCCGTGTGCAATCAACTTTGTGTGATTGTAAGTATGATGTCACTTGTACCGCGGGGCACTCTTGATGAATGGAGCATGCAACAATTAATCTAGCACAAGGAAGGATGCTTGGCTGCACCCGCAAACCAGTAAGGCATCTTCAGGCGTAAGCCCTCCCAGGCTTATCATATCTGATGCGGCCTTTCTCCTGTGATACTGAGAACGAGTAGGCAGCGGTGATGTGGGGTCGAGCCGCCGTCAGCTCGTGGCTCCAAACGAGATGCACGCTCGTGATATGAAATACCGGTGCTATTACCAAAAGCCATAACACTGTCTGCGGCTTTCTCAAGCCTGAAATATGTTTTCTCAGGAATTGCGCTGCGATCCACAATGTACACCGGGCCCCAGCCCTTCCGTCAACGCTCGTCGCAACGTTTGATGGCATTCATCGCCAGTGACAGTTATTCAGAGTTATTTCGACTATCTCTCCCCTACCAGTGTTGCTGAGTGGCTGCCTTTGTAGAGTGATATGTTCAGAGCGCACACGAGTAAAAATCTGCGGTGGCCAGCACCACTACGAAAATTTCAGCCATTACGTCATAACAAGTGTAAACGTTCAGTTCAGGTACAACTTTGAATATGTGATACCTCGACCGTATTAAAGCCCTGAGCTGCAACCAGGCAGAGCCCAGAAGTTCTGCTGACTAGTGACACGTGGCTCGGCTCAGCTGACGGCCAGCTGGGTAGGCCGTGTGTCGCAAGTTCGCTGACGGCCTGAGGAGGATGACAGATTATTCATGTTCTGTGATTGTGGGGAGAGATGTTGAAATGCAAGCGTTCCGCTTCTCTTTCGCTCCAAGTCACTCATATTTCATGTCATGCTGCATCATGTCACTTCACAATCAAACAGCACACAGATAAGCAAGTTTTCCCAGTTGTTCACCATCCCGGTGCAAAGTCGTGCTCTCACAGTGCCAACGGCGCTCCCCCGGCGCCAATTTTGCCCCCGGCGCTAACCGCACCCCGTCTGCTCCACAGCTGCGCCGCGTGAGTTTGCGGCACAGCAGAAGGGGACGCCGGCTGAACGGGTGGGTCGGCTGGCGGCCCTGCTGCGCGGTATCGGCGGCAGCGAGGAGTCGCATCCCAGCTGCCAGCCGGGCACCCGCTGGACCACCGAGTGCGGTGTCTGCATGTGCTCGCCCACGGGCGAAGCGCGCTGCGCTGGCGAGGACTGCACCTTCATTCCCGAACAGGGCAGCGACGGATCGATCCTGGAGCTCGGCATGGGCGACGACATGGACCTGCAGGCGCTCAGCAGCGAACGGCACGTGCTGGTGCTGCTGCCGTGACCTGGTCGCCGCACGCGCGCTGACTGCGGCCCGCTGTATCCGCGGCACGATCTGTTCGCGATCTGTTCGCGATCTGTTCGGCGATCTGGGGCCGGGATGAGCCGCTGCTCTCGTCTCGCCGAGAGCAGGCTTCTGCGGTCGTCTAGAGTGTAGGCGCGGCACAGCAGAGCCCGTCCGGATGTGGTGTTCGGGATTGTGATCGGACTCGGGGAGCAGGATGCTGCTGTGCACCCTCGGGTAATGAATGTTGCGAAGGTGTGAACGGCTGAGGATGAAGTCGGGCCAGACGTCACCGACTCTCCACCTGCTGCTGTCAAATTACTGTAATCCTGTTCGATGACATCTAGCCTATTATTTAGATGTGTAATCTTCGGGGAACGGCGCGACTCAGTTGGCAACGTGCTCGCCACGAACGTGTGCGGGAAGGCGTGGGACTGAGCCAGACTATCAACCTAGGGTTTTGTCCTTTGTCGTAGGAATGCGCGCAAGGATGGTGGCACCAAGTGACCCGAAATGTTGAAGCCACCTTTAAATCAAGACCAAATCACATCGTTCTATGTCTCGTAGCCTTGCAGTGGCGCCAGTAAGAAGCCTTATCCCTGGGCAACGGGTGTTAAAAAAACATTTTGTGCAGTCGTTGAAGATGGAGTTTTCTAGGTAGACGCAAAACTAAGGAGGCAAGACATTAGTGAGAGTCTCTGGGCACGACATGCGTCAGCAACCAATAAATATCCAACACATAGGTTATGGTAACTTAAGGTTGCTTTGGTGTCTACCTTTGGGTTCGCGAAACTGTGATGTTGTGAACGAAGATGGCTGTGTCATTGCAAATATATTTTTCTCTATATCTGCTGCCATTAGTTGCGCGGATGCTGGTGGCGACTGGCAAAGCCCGTGCTCTCTGTCGCGCGTACAACCCCCTCCCTGTAGACATGTAGAAAGAACCCGAGCCGCCAGCCTCTCCCGGCCGCACCGGGACGATATCGAAAGTTTTTCCTTCGCAGCCGACTCTCACAAATCAAACACGATTAAATCACATTTGTACCGTTGCGCTTGCAAGGACCTTGCAAGCGAACAGATCGATCGCGAGCACTCGTCGTGCAACATTTCATCGCGGCAGCTTTTCATCTAAAGATATAAGTAAAAAAGGAAGAACAGGATTGTCCCAACTTCCCCCAAAAGGGTGATGGCGTGGCGTTCACTGGCCCCGTATCTGCCAAACAACCAAAGAATGTGCTCAGGTGACTCATCTCATCCAGCTCGCTGGCGACTCGGCTCCATAGTTACAGCACTAGCAAAACTTCTGGAGCGTTCAGCATGTAGGCGGATCAATAACCACGCTTCACTCGTCATTACTGGTCACACAGTGCCCGCACGGATATCTCAAGGGCTACTCAGGTGAAATCGTCATCTCTTTGACAGCTGGCTGCGTCTATCGTGCAAAGGATGAGGTAATTAGAATAAGAAATAAATAACATTAGATAATGATACAATACATATATACCTATCTAGGTATATATATATATATATATATATATATATATATATATATATATACATGTGTACATAGCAAACAATATACAATACAAAAGTGTAAAACAATACGAATACAACATTGGCAATCAGATAAATAAAAATGAGCGTATACCTACATATTAATTTTGTATGTATGCATAAGATAATGTATTTCGTTATTTCTATACTCATTTAATGGCTTGTAATTTATCTCGGTAATTCGGTAATTCTTTGTTTCTTTGTCTCTCTATTATCTATATCTATCGTTCTTTCCCGGACGAGTATGCAACATAAATGCAGAGTTAATGATGCATCTGTCGTCATTTTATCGCAATATTTCGATGTCCGTGACCGCACGAGCTTATTGGATAAGTTACAGGTTTGCCGTGCTGATACGCACCACACCGCCTAGCAGCAAATAACCTAGAAGAACAAGTTTAACGGGTGAGAATAGTTGGGAAAGCAAAAATTATGAGCTGGGAGCACTCATGCTGATAACAGGCAATCTTAAAAAATGCCGGGAAGTATTGGTGCATCAACGTCATTTGTCAAATGACGGTCGTATGAAGGAAGAGTTACGTTTCAAACTGTGTCAATCGTCCAGGGCACGTTACAAAAAACATTTGACAGCATGCTGTGGTTCCGAGTAAGCAAGGTAAGGAAACACTGCATATAATTATTTGAATTTGTACAAACTACCGCCAAATATATAACGAAACGATTAACCGTGCAAGCGCTCACCTTAGATGGATCTGACGAGGGAACTCAATAAGATCAGTCATCTTATCTCAAGACGGCATTCATGCGGGCTCCTCATGGCTGATTCTATAATTATTTATATTGACATTATGTTGATGGTAGTATCTCCATAGATCCGGAGCGTACTGTATACTGACTTGTCTTGGCCTTCAAATGTTTTCAAACGTTTTTTGCTTATACTTGTTCAGTCGTGACCAGGCCTAAGACTTTATCAAACACATGTGTTGTTGGTCGTGCAATTTGACGCTGCAAGAAACAGCAACGGTCAGAGGCGGCGCCACGAATCTAGAGTCGGGAATGGAGAGGGGGCGGGATTCTCCAGGGGACTTCCTGAATGAAATGGAACCTACTCAAAGGAAGGCCCCTGCACAGTGCCCTATCTGAGGGGCAGGGCCACTGAGGGCACGTGTTCCTTATCATCAAACTGTTACATGCATCACATCCAAGTAGAAAAATATAGCCAGATGAACAATCCAGAGTGGGCGCCTTCCAATTATTCAGTGTGTCTCGTGTTCAAAGTATCTCGCTAACCTAAGAGAGAGCCTCCTATTCAAGAAAAGGTCCCCCTATGCATCTATGCATACAGGGGTAGAGACAGAAAAATATGTTTCCAATTCCCAAAGGAGACTCCAAGCTACCCGAGGGACCTCGCTATCACAAAATAAGAGATTCTGATGCGAAGGCGCGGTCATGTAATGCATTAATGGGGCCTTCTACCCCAGAAATGGCGCCTCCTGGATACGGGGGTGCCTCTTAGCCCAGAACAGCGGCCTCCATGTTTGTCAAGGAGGTCTCTCCAGCCAGCAGAATGGCCTCCCTAACACAACATTGGGCCTTCTGATCTAGAGCATCGCCTCTTTGATTCATCAAGGCGGCCTCATGATCCACAAAACGGGTGTGTTGATGAAACATAGTTTTTTTTAGCCCGGTTGATTGCTATCTAACTGAGTTACGGGCCCTCCCCAATCTGAACGTTGATGTTCTGCTTTCTGCTATCAGGCCTTAAGCTTGGGAAGCACTACCTGCTGGGCCAATCACAATCGTTCCGTTATATCGTTCTGGTATAATCGTTCTGTTAATCGCACCAGTAGGGGTGCGCGCGGTTGTTGCCATGGCGATGGTGGTCGCAACTGCAAGGAAGAATCGTGGTGCTATGACAAAATGTTGACAGTGTAATTTGGACTCCAAAATGATCCAAATTAATACCCTGAGTATGTCGTGAGGATGCTACAGTGACACCACTCAGTGCTATTATTAGACGTTACCAGCCCTGAAGTCTCACAAGAGAAGTTATGTTTGGAAATATGCTACAAAGGTGGGACACTGTCTTTAACAACGCCATATATCATAAAACTTTCTCAAAAAAAAGAAAAAGATGCACCCATGTAGTCAGAATCAAACAAGACATACGTCTGGTTAGGGTTCGCGTCGTCTTGAGGCATGGTCTCGTATGTGTAAAGCTGAAAAAGTGCGATTTTCTGGAAAGGGTTTTTGTTGATCCGGTATAATGTCGTCATTCATTCATTCGGAAACGCCAGAGACGTTTAGCCTAACAACGTAAAATCTAGAGCCAATTACGAGGTCTCATTAAGACCAATCCACTAGTGTTTCCCACTAAGCCCTATATTAATTTGGAAGCACCAGGGGAGTCGTATCGACCCTTCTCTCGTGAGTCCACGTTTATGAATGACTGCAAATCAGGGCAAAGTTTAACCGGTCACCAAAATGAGCTTAAAATGGCTGAAATAGACTCCAACAACCATCTTAAGTGGATAACAATCGAAATGAATGTCAGTATCAATCTTATGGTCGCCAATATGGACGTTTACACCACAAGTTGAATAATTGTTTGACCGTAATGTTAACTTAGGAACCAAAGGCACGAAGGGAATGTCAAGAAAGAACATTTATGACCAGGTTGGCTATTTCACATCAAAGATTTCCAACAAATCACCAAAACATAGTATGAAATAGAGAATTTCTATTAGAATCCAAGATATCCAACTTGTCAGCGAAACCGGTCGCGTTTTTAGCCAAACTAGCGTCAACTCGAGAATGCTTTGAAACGCAGACACCGTAAAGAAGCTATAAGCTAAGTTCAAGAGAGTATATCGCCTGTCGGGAGTCGGCGGAACGATAGAGGCCTCCATGTACGTCAGTGACCACCGACTGTGGGGGCCCATTTACGAAGCTGAGACAAAGCCGGGTTCCGCGATCAAGTTGCTGGCCTCCTGCGCTGGTCGGGGCCTCAGAAGCAAGGTGTCCGTGTACCGGTCAGAGGTTCAGAGTGCTCATCAGAGGAGCCTGTGTCGGTATGGGAGCTCCGACTCGACTAGAGGCACATTTCCTGAAGAGGAACAGGACCGAACCCTGAATATCGGAGGGTCACTGACGTTGGTCGGATTCCTCTGGCTCTGACATTGAATGGAAATGCGATAAATGACAACGGAATTATGCACAATGAGCCAATGAAAGGACCCTGCCAGTCACGAGCCCCAGTACTGAGCAGGGGGTTATCCATGTTCCCCGTTCCTGGGCCCTGAAATGGCCTGGACCCGTTTCAGCAGGGGTCCAATAAATTTAATTGTGATTGTGTGCTACACACATGACATAAAAGTGCCTGGGTGGCCTGTTCTATTTTGTTTTCATAATTTTCTTCCCAACCATTTTGATTGAATTAATTCAAGATCAGGGTTTACGCAAAGCCGTTTCGCTGTGTGTGCCATGACTTCACTTTCTTATCAAGGAATTCCAGTTCTGTGGCAGAACTTTGGGGCAATTTTATAGCGTTATCCGTGGTGCTCGAAATGGTCTTCCCCGCCATTTGACCTCCCTGACATGGAACGGTCGCTGCCTCCCAGACCCTACCGCAGTGCGTTAGAAGCACAACCCCTCCGCGGCGTAATTTTATCACTAGCCCACAGGATTCACGATTTAAAGGCCTGTTCTTCACAAAGCTGTGAATCGAAGTCTACCTGGTCAATTTCGATGAACCCAGCACCAACCAAAAGACTATTTAATTGTCTTGAGTCCTCCCATTGACCATTTTTGGTCTACAGAAGCCAAACTCTCACAGTGTACCGGGTAAAAGTTTTCGTGCGCGGTACGCTGTGAAGTTTCCGACTTTCGCAATACGTATGATTGTGTCAGTAGCTCAATCGGTAACGTGCACGATTCGCATTAGAAAGATTGTGCGTCCGAAGCTTGGACGTTGTAGAACTTTTTTCCAGGTCACCATGGCATATGCTAACTTCTTTGTTTTGGGTCAGCACATGCCGTCAGTGTCATTTAATATATAATTCCTTAAGAGTTGCTTGCAAAAAGCCTGGGCACAACATTAAGTCAAATTTTGAGCATATTCACTCTTGTGGCACCTGCACCATGCTGCCTTGAGAAAACTGCTGCACAATACTAAGTACACACTAAAAATCTAGCTTGCATCGCACACCTGGTTATTTCTAGTTTAATGCTGCAGATTTTATAATGAACTTCGTTCCGCCTTGTACATTACCCTTGCTGTCACCGGTCGCGGATTATCTAAGTCGGGGGTAAATAATAAGTGCACATT